AAAACCAAAAACCAAATAAATAAATACATAAACAAAGTTAGAATTCTAGTGAAAGCAAGTGATATGACAAGCTAGTCCAAGGAGACAGGCACACACAAGAGACCAGAAAGGCAGAAATAAACAAAGCTTTATTGAAGAGCCAGCTGCCAGACAGTCTCTGACCAGGAGCCAGAGAAGATGTCCACCTCAATCTGGGTCTCCCCTTCAGTTTAAGTACATTTTTAGGTAGCAACCATTGTTTCATTTTGGGGGAATTTTACAAGAATGTCACACAATTATCACAAGGTTTACCTTTTCTGGAAGCTGTCGGCCAGCCACATTCCAGATGACCATTGTGGTTTAACATTTAGCCTGCTTCCCAGTTTGTCCTGTTTGTTCTGTTCCCATTTTATAAATCTGTTCTGCTTCATAACTAACCAAGTGGAGAGGGTAAGGAATGGGTTTAGCTACAGTTTAAGTGAACTGTAAGTGACTTCTCTTAAAATGGAGTCACAAAAAAGAAAATGGAGTCTCTGTTACCCTGTCATAAGTACAGACCTTTCAAGAAACATCCGTCTTAGTATTTGACCTAATATCTATACACATAAAACCAGTTGCTGAATAAGTAATCTAATTTAAAACAAGTTAGAATTTTATTTCAAATTAGTTGCTTCCACTGGTTTCTTTTTATGTATAGATAAAAAACCGACAGTGAAACATTAAATTCATACTCCTTTACTTTTTAATTTAATTAAGTTTATTGGTACAATTTAGGTACATACAAAAACCACATTCATCATGGGGAATGTGTACCTGTACGTGCTATACCTTGATTTGTCTTTATTTTTCTCCCACTCCTCTGCCCTTCTTTCAACCCCTCTTCTCCTACTTTATGAAACTTTGTTTCCATTTTATCCTTCTTTTCTCATTTTTTCCTTTCACTTCCTTCCTTTCCCCCTCCCTTCCCTAATTCCCCTTTACTCTTGAATTGTTTCTTCCCATTTTACCATATCCCTTGTACAGTTTTGTTCTTATTTACACTTTCAGTTTCTCACACCAGCAAGACAAAGTGATATTTACATATGTGTCCTCTTTATTTCACTTAAGAGTATGGTCCCAAGGTCTATCCAGTTAGCAAAAAATGTCTCAAGTTTATCCTTCCTTATGGCAGAGCAGTACTATATTATATATTTTTAAAAATCATGTCTTTTTCATCCATTCCTTAGTTGATAGACATTTGGGTTGTTTCCAAGATTTAGGTATTACAAACTGTGCTGCTCTAAGCACACTTCTATAAACTTACCTGATCACAGTGTAGATAGTTTTGCTAGTGTTACCTTATGTACCATTGACCAAAAGTATTCAGGAATGTTTAGCTATCGGGAGTAGCGTATATTGCCAATGACTTAAGAAGAATAAGGTGCTTCTGTAGTGAGAATTCTTTCTAGTGAAAATGTAATCTTAAAGGAGTATTTTTTGTAAAATATTTGAGTTCTCAAATACCCATTAAAGGATAATGAATGTTAATTTTAACAATCTCAAAACAAAAAGGAAGGAATATTAAAATAAACATTGTCATAGATTTTTTATATTATAGAATATTCTCTTATTTTCCATCAAACAATTCCTTATGGTTAACTCCTAATAATTTTTGTTTCAGTGTAGCTTCCTTTCAGTCATACCTACAATAGGGTTGTGCGTATGCCCTTCATGTTCATAATTTTCTTTTATCTTTTTTTTCTTATTTGATTCTAATTTATTCTAAGTCAGACACTATGTCACATTCATCCTCTCTACCCTACAAAGAAAGAAGTTACCAAGGAGACCCAAGCCCATGTCTTAGCTCAGTCTTCCTTTCACTCATCAAACTGTGTGTGTAAGAGAGAGAGATTTTATCCTTAAGATAAACATATCTAGAAATTTGTTGCACCAATGTGCTGAACATTTTGCTTGCCAGTGTCAGAGAAAAAGAGACAAGAGAGACAGAGTTCTAGCTACTTTGATGCATAGGTGGAGTTGGCCAATTTGCCCTGGCCCAGCCATGGCTATGCACCTTGAAACATGGGCTAGAGAGGTCAGAGTTGTCAGGGGCTGACTTTAGCACTTGTTTTTCATGCAGGAAGAAAATAAATAGGTGACCATGAAGTGCACTAATTCAAATCAATTTTGAATCCCAATAATATCTTCAAGCACTATCTGTATGGCTCCATTTTCCTGTCCAAATGTTGTCCCCTTTGTTTGACCTTCTGCTCTGTGTCCCAGAAAAATGACTTCTATGATTTGAGAGCTACCCCCTTGCTCTGTCCTGCAGTTGGAGTGTGCTGGGGAGCAGAAAGCGGATACAAGAGAGGCCATGTCAGTGGGATATCCGCCCATCAGGTTCTCTCCTTCAGGGTTCCCACGGCAACCTCAGTGATGTGTTCTTCAGCAAATCAGGAAGACACATCCTCTCTGGGGTTTGTGCCAGTGGTACTTCCTTACAGCTTCCCTCAACTGCTTCTTTTCCTTCGGTTCTTTAATCCATCTTCTTTTTCTGTAAGGAGTTTCAAAATTCTGAAAAATACCTGGGGGCTTTTCTTACTCTTTTTCTAGACTTCTGTAGTGTCCACTTATTAAACATTACTTACATTATATGATTTAAACGTTCATTATTATTCTTTTGGGACCATGACTGAAAAATACTTCAAACACTTTTTCAGTCTGAAAAAACCTTGTGGAAGTCTTTCTCAGTCATGGTCCTAGAAGAATAGTAATGAATGTTTAAATCGTATAATGTAAGTAATACTCAATATTGTTTGCACAATTACGTTCCTACATCTTGTACTCTGAGTAACTGATTTAAAGATAAGAATACACAGTGTATTGGCCATTGTTACCCTCCTATTATCTAGTTTTGAAATTTTGGGGTTTTTTCTTTTAAAAAAACATTTTGAGGCAAGAGTGAATTTTTTACTGTTCCTTACACATCCTCGAGGAGACAAAGTTGGGGAAGAAAAGAAGGATTATTTATGTGCCATAGCTGATTTTGAATTCCCTTCTAATATGCCCTAAAATGGGGTTTAAATCATAAACACAAACTTATAGGAGAAAGTTTTAAGCCTGATAAATGCCGCGTTGTGTAGGTCACCAAGCTCACCGGCTCACTGTTTTCCTCCTAGCCTGTGCAAAGTTTAAGATTAGTCCCTTCTATTTTGTAGACCTTGCTAGTAGCCATTGGAAACCATTCATATTAAAATACAAGTACATTAAAATAATACACTAATGCTGGCTATTATTACTACTGTTAAGGTAGCTCTTCAAATTTCACATATTTTTATATGATAAGAATATTTTTAAGAGATGAGGCAGAAAGAAAAATTGAAACTTTATCAGAATAATTTTAAAAATATTAAAAATCCAAGCCTTGGTGTGAGTATAATAAATTTTAGTATTGATTTGAGACACTATAGAGATATTTGTTTTGTGTTCCAGTATTAGGAATAAACATATCTATGCTGTAACGTTCAAGAACATCTGCTACTTTACTCAGAGAGTACAATGTTTAACAAACTGCTTTTTGTGAATATTTGAAATGTAAATTTTAATAATTGAAATGCACAGGCAGAAATACAGAGGGAAAGCACATGAGTAATGTGCAAGGAAAATTAAATATTTATTCTAATGAAATTATTCATAAAGAGCTACTTGAGTCTTAGTTCTATGAAAAATGTTGCTAAATGAAAAGACTTTATATTGACAAAAACAGGTTTAGTGACGAAGCATGGTTTATGTTGTCTCAAGGAGAGAAATCATTAGTATTACTATAACTTTTACATTTATCATTTCTTTCATAAAGAATCTTTTGTCGTTGGTTGTAGAGAGTTGTATGTTAGTTTCTGGATTAACCTACTATATCTGTTTCAAATAACATTGAAATAATTATGAAGAAGCATGTATTTTCATTAATGAAACAGATTTATAATAACTTTCTACAGATTTTTAAAAAGAGGGCATAGCTTTGATTAATGCATCTTTGAAAGACATTAAGAGTATGATATAGAGTGGAGAGTAATTAATATCATTACTTCAAGCAAAACTTTCTTCATTGAGATATTTTTCATTTAAATTTTAAAAAAAGAGAATTCATATTTAAATGCAATGATTTTTAATTAACACAGGGAAGTTACTGTGAGTCAGGAGTTCAGCAACTTTTTTCTACAGAATATCACAGGGTGAATATTGAGGCTGTCTGTGTCTTTCATTCTGTTGTCCCTGCTGGAGTCTGGCAGTTGCAGACCTGATATAAGTGATGGACGCGGCTGTGTCTGCATAAACATTGCTGTGGCTGTAGTTTGTCTACTCTTTCTCAAAAAATTTAAAACTCTATATTTTGATTGGATGTAAAGAGTACTTTTTAAAAGCACTTTTAGAATATATCTAAAGTGTTCCACTGGAAAAAAATCCTCTTTGGCCCTATAAAGTAAGGAATAACATAGATGATACTATTATGCTATTACTAAATAACATGATACAATGTTTTTGTGTTTTAAATAAAATACAGTTTTTGCTTTTCAGGTCCCCAGTTCTCTTTTGTGAAATTATCATGTTCTACTCTTGGAATATGGGCATTCACATTACCTTCAAACTAGTTCTGCATAACTGAAAAATAAGGATATTCGCAGTAAAAAGTATAAAAATTTCACTTTAGCCTACAGAATATTTGAAATGTTAAGGAAGAGTATCTCAAAGTTCAAATTAGGATTAAATCACAAATAATTAGAATTATCCAGATATTCAAAGTGTTAGCAGCAAAAACCATATATTAATATTATTTATCTTCATGACAACTAATAGTTTAGTTCTTTTTTCAAAACTCTATTTCAAGAAGTTTCAAGAAGAAACTATTAAATACATTTAATTTGAAAAATGTGAAATACTAATCAGAAATTAACTTCAACACTGAAGGTATGACCACATATGCTACAACAACAGAGGGTGTTATCTACACAGAAAATATCACAAAAGACACACTGTAAGAGTGTAACATGAAACTTTATTTCACCACAAGTTACAGAGTTTATTTTGTACGTAGGATCATGAATGCACAGAGTACACTGGAAAATTAAAATATCTTTGTCCCACACAAGTGTTTCTCGAAAAGATACAGCAAAAACTGAACAAAAGCATTTTCATTACAAGCCTAAACCTTTACTAAATAAATTGACTGCATACAGTTAATTGATGCAAATAATTTATATTACACTGATTTATTCAGACCCAAAGTTTTTCCAGTTAAAATAAATCAGGTCCAAACACTGTGATCATAATCCACTGCTGCTTAATGGATTTTCCATTACCACAGCCATCACAATTTACAGACTCCAAAGGTCCAAGGACATTTCATTGTTCAGCAATAAAAATTTATTTATTAAGACAAACAATTCAGAAATCGTAAGTTGCAAATTTTATCAACTTCCTGTTTTCTGCTGGTCCCACAATAGCCTCTTTCTTTACTCAGTTCTCTTTCTCCACCCTCCTGTCTCCCATATATATATTCTAGGTTAAGAAGATAAAAGAGGCTATTTGAAGAGAAACCCTTTCCATAAGCAGCGGATTTATGACCAAATTTTGTGAAAATAGTAATAAACCAGACAAACCACATTTGATGTGTACTTTGAGGTATTGTTCTTTTTTCATCCCTAGTACATAAGTTATTACTAAAAAGTGAGCATTTGATTTAGATACAACAGCAAGCAAGACTATAACACACCCATAATTTCTAATGTTTGAGTGTCTAGCCACACGCGGACAAGTATTATTCAATACAGGACCTCCTCGGCCCCACGTGCATACCTTGTTTCTACGGATGCTGTTTGCTAATCACAATTCTAGTACCTTCTAATTTTCTCTCTTATTCTATCTTATCTCCCCACTCTACTGAAAACTTCTACCACCAGCATATCCGTTTCCATCCCTACTCACTTCCTATATCATAGATGATACTTTAATTTTCTTACAGCAAATATTGCACACCGATAAGATGAAACTTCTGAAAGTTTAATAACTGCTTTTTGTACTAAAGTAGTCACTCTTCCTGAATTTATGATATTGTTGGGCCACCTGACATCTGCTTTCTCACCACTTAACTGTGAGACAAGGTCTTTCTATCTTCAGTTTGGAGTATATCAATGGAAATCATTACTTCCAAATACAATGAAATTTCTATGTTTGTTCATATTTCTGTATCTTTATTCAAGTTGCTTTTTCAACCAGATATTTTGATCTCTATTTCTCTCACCTACAGACACACTGAATCCCGAAAGTCATATTTTAAACACATTCTTTTGGACACCTTCCCAGAGTTACTCTTTCCTTAAATTGTACAACTAATCCTTTTCTCTCTGTATCTATTCCTTGACAATTCATGTACATTTTCTATTCTGTCTGGAGCACTTTGTGCATAGAAAATATTGCATAAATGTTTGAGTTGGGCTACCTCATTTCTAAACTGCAAATATAGATAGGCAGAACCAACCTTACATTTACCAGAGCAAGTGTCAATCGTGTTTGGAATTCCAACTGGAATGTATTTAATAAACATTTATTCATTGTTTTTGTGACCTTATAGTGGCCTATCAATGCTACTCCCTAGCCTTAAAGAAGAAAAGATGGTCAACAGAAGTATAATATCACTATGCCTGGCCTTCGTATAATATAACAGTGAGGATCTGGATAAATTTGACGTTATAAAGAACAATAGCTTGGTCAGGAATTATTTTCACAGTGCTTCAAGTGGACTAATGCTAAATCATTAGGTGGCTATTAACACCACTTCAGCTCTAGTGATAAGATTGATGAAGGAATCATGAATGTGGTTTCTTGCTACAGTAATTTTTCAGTAGTGGGCAGAGCACTGATATAGGTACTTAGTAATTTTGTGGATACATTCTTTATTTATTTTGTTTATTCAAATATTGGTTGTTAGTTTCAACTTTACTCAGACCAGTCATTAGAATTATTTAGTCATGATATACTGAACTGAAACACAATTTCATATAAACAGTTATGTGTGAGTCCTATGTGGTATTCTTTTTGATGTTGAATTATCAGCAAGAATGCAGCTCTCCACTTCATCCTTGTTCTTAAGAAAAAATACAACCCATTTATGATTATTGTACATGTCCATATCCAAGTATGTGGGCACACTAAATGTGGAAATCACTGATAAGTGCTTCATATTTACCAATAGTGTGCTTAATATAGAGTTTACTAGGTCTTAAAACTTAATGAAATCTCACTTTAACTTAAAATGAAATACATTCAATGAGTTATGTAATTCTTAATGACATTGAAACTTTATATTTAATTAGCTTTACTTGGGAAATTTTTCTCTTTCCTTACTAAAATCTCAGATTATCTAAGAAGTTTCTTAAATTTCTAAAGCAAGTTAACATTCTATGCATTAACATCAAGTGGTTATAATTTTGTCTAATTCAAGGACACATAAACTATTACTCTGTCATTATAAATCAAAATAAATAAAGTTAGGTCAGTCACATTTCTCCTTCTCAGTGCCTTTACATCCTGCTCATATAGTTAGAGGATGGGTCTTTGTGAATTAAACATTTTTCCAATGATCCTAAATTCCTCTGTTTCCCTTATCCTTTGCATTCTTTATATCTACTTTTTGATCTATGTTAGAGGTTTGTTTTTTGCATTCAGCAAAAGTCCCCCTTAAACCAATAAAATAAGACATAGCTCACCTGAAAAAAGAAGAGGATTAAACATCTTTGCCAACATGGCAAAGCTAATACCTGAAAACAGAACAAGAATTAGAGGAGATCTCCTTTGAGAATAAGCTCTTTTGATTTCTTGTCAAAAAAAAAAAAAAGAATGTAAATATATTTCTACCCTTTAATTTTTATTTTTACAAATAGTAAAATTTTCATACTTTTGTTTCTGATCCATAAATTTAGATAAAGCTGCTGAAAATACCACTGGCTTTGAAAACTAAATGCTTATTTTGATGGTATATACAAGAAATATATAGGAAAGTATCTTCCATATTTTTATCAACTGTATTTTCACATGTAAATTTTGTCAACATTTAAAATCTAGTTAATAAGACACCAATGAAAAAAATCAAGGCTCTTTATTTCAAGCATGTTCAAGAGCTTTAAAATGTAGTCATGCTCAGATAAAATTGAAAAATCCCAAATCTAAACTACCGTAATAATGAGTAACCTATAGCTTAAAACATGGAACTAGCCATAAAATAATTTAGTAAAATCCTTTATTTCTTTATGGATATTTTATTTTTCATTTATTTCTAAATGGATGCTGTTATTTAAAATATCCACCAATACTCAGTATTATAAACAAGAATGCACAAGCAACCTGAAAATAAATATATACACGGCCAAAGTTTAACTTGACTCTCCATTAAAAAAACAAAAATAGAGCAGTTTTGCTGTTTGTCATTAATGTTCAATTTCTTTCTAGTTTTTTTCTGCCTAGAGGCTTATAAGCAAATTGGAAAATGATTAAGATTCAACTAAGGAATAACTGAAATATAGTTATATTAAAATGAAAAAGAAGTAGATATTTCAAAAATATAAGTGTAACTATGCCTGGGCATCCCCCAGGCATGCACTAACCTTGTGGAGGAATTATTGTTCTAAAAACTACAGCATCAAATTCACAGGTGACAGCACCCTCTTCAAGCTCTAAATTAGTTCTTGATCATAAATCTCTTCATCTGGATAACCATTTTTGGCAATGAAAACAATTTTTAGAGTTTATCTCCAACCTGACCCTTCCAAATTTCCTGAAAATAAAATTATTCTGGATGAATATGGAGAAGTGCTTATGAACAACGGATATGCCAGATGATTTACAGGGCTGTGTCACGGAAACCTAATTTCAACTCTCCTCTTCACGAGAGGCATGTGGCAGCCAGTAACCCACCAGCTCTGCTTATAGAGACTTCCTCTGGGCTTTTTTTGCTGTCTGTCGGCAACTAGACTGCTCTCACACTCATGTGCCTTAAAGATATCTGTAATGAAAGTGCAACCTTAACATGATTCTGTGGCTGTGCTCATTTCCTAGAAAAGATAACCTAATAATAATTTCTAATGTTGAGGAATGGGCTCAGAACTTAAGAGGTAGAATAGATAAATGTGTGACATAGGCATACAATTGTGTGCCAAGAAAGTCTGATCTTAAAAATGCATATATCAGACTATCTTCTCAGTGTAGCTTGCAACTTAATCTGCTAGATCCTTCTTGAACCACAGGAGTAAATGTTCCCTAATGATTTTATTAAGTTAAGGACTGCCACAACCTTATAGTACATGAAAAGAAAGATCATTTCCTTCTATATCTAATTTTAGCATTAGTACATCTTAACATCCGTAACTCATAAATGCTAAAAGGAGGAAAGTAAAATGGATAAATGTAACATTTTTCTTTATGATTTTTCAAATTGCATTTAAAAAACCTGACTGAAGTAGTTTCTTTCCAGGTGTGTATAACCTCAAACTAAAAGTAGCTGGAGTTTTGTTTCATACTGCATAAGGAGATGGGCTGTATTAAATGACAAGCCAACATTGGTCATCTCATAAATCATGTGCTGTTAGCAGCTAGCTTCACTCAATTATTCCACATTGTATTCATAAATCACAACACCACTTTTTACTCCATAAATTTATATAGTTATAAGTTATCAACTCAGAGTAAAAATTAAATTAAAATATTTAGAATAAATTATTTTCTTCTCGGGAGTAAAACATCTGCAAAATAAATGCAAGGAAATCATGGTTTTCTCTTTTTAACAAGATATATGTTAAATAGGGCCGGCAAATAAAAATGAAGAAAAAAATCAAGTTAAAAACTTTTTAGGTAAAGAAAATAGATAAATCTTAGGCATTAGTCTCTGATTACATTATATTTAAGTATATTTAAATAAAATATGTACTAAGTTACTTCACGTTTAAAATATGTATCACAGAATTTATAAATCCCAAATCCTAATAAGCAAATAAAATTGAAGCATATAATAGCACTTAAATATACTGGATTTAACAATTCATCAGTTTCACATAAATTTAGGTAAATGAATCTAATACTATTTTTTGGGGGGGGGGTTAATCCTGTACCAGGAATCGAACTCAAGACCTTGCACTTGCCAGGCAGACGTTGTGCCGCTGAGCTAAATCCTCAGCCCCTGAGGTAAATGAATTTAAAAGCTGATATTTCATTTACCTATGGAAGCTTAAAAATGACAATATTGTTTGTATTTTAACCATTGATTTCTCTGCATTTTGAGTTTTAACTTCATGTTACTGAAGTACAGCTGATTAAACTGGAGATTTATAAGTAAAGGTAGCCAACCCAATAAACCAGATTGAACAGGGCAAACGCTGTTGGGAAGAATATCCGTGAGTAGGAGTCAATTCTAGCAATGCGGATGTGTACCCTGCCTTCCCTCCAGGACCCTGCTTTGCAGTCTTCAACGCAGCAGAAGAAGCTGGCGCAGTCTTTGCCCTCCAGGCACTGATAGCCGTAATCGTCCTCCCCTTGCGGCAGGGAAATGCTGCTCATCGGAATCAGAGTGGCTCCAGCATGGACACCAGGAGACACCTGCGTGATAGAATGAATGAGTTTTTCAGGCGCAGAGCAGAATAAAGGAAGACTACTGTGTCACCATCAAGGCAAGCTCCAGGAGACATACGGCAAAAGTAATGCTGATTTTCAAACATCAAGTATGTTCAATTCTAATGTATTTTTAGATTATGATTTACTGAGCAATATATAACTTTCCTTACATTCCAAAGATCATGTGGAAAACAACCCAGAAAATAAAACATATTTTATATCTTTAGAAACTTGATGCACCAAAATATTGCCAACTATGAATCTCATTCTAAAAGCATACAAATAGGTTTCTATGATATTTTGCACTGAACTATTTACAGTACTATGAAGATACTTGTTTGCTATTATAGGTTTTTTATTTTAGTGATCATGAGAATAAATAACAATGAAGATATTGATAATACAAATGATTAAAGAAACTATGAATAAATGAAAAATATGTTTGTAGTAGTGAATAAGTACAAATTAGCATATTTTGGAGATATGTTCTGCAGGAATTTAAAACACAGTTTGGGGAAAAAGTGATGTTCAAAATACTGTTTATTCCACTAGGGTAGCTACCTTATAGTTGGAATTATATTAGCACCTGATTTTTTGTGACACTTGACGGGGAAATGATCACTTTTCCTTCCTGCCTGATAATAACTGCTACTATTATTGTTAGGGTTATTTGGGACACACATCAATTTAACTTGTTAATGTTTCCAGGTTTTGAATAATACTTAAATCATAAAAGTAATTTTTGAAAATATTAAATGTAAAGACAAGACCAGTAGAACAAAGAGCATTAAGGTAAACACTTTAAAGTCAGACAAAAGTCATATAAATTTCTAGCCTTGACTAGTAGAACTCTTCAAGCTTGACCAAAAATATTTGACTGTTTTTCGCAACTGAGATTATGTTGTACAAAGTCAGAGTAACAATAACATAGATTTGTTTGATGATGAACTGAGAGGGTGCACGTGAAGCACCCAGAAAATATTTGAAACAAAGAAATAATTTAGTTGCCAGTAGATACTAATTGTTGCATTAGTATTACTTTCATTGCTGACGTCTGACAAGGATGAGACACAACAAACAGAAAATACATGATAAACCAAACCTATGGACAATGATACTAACAACAAAAACTTGAACTTCATTAAAAAAATCACTAGAAAAAATATCAAATACTTGAATAAAATTGCAAGTAAACTATACATGAAGTCTACACTTTTGGTGATTTATCGTTCTTCATAATTTCTCCATATTTCTAAGGTCTTTTAAGTTATGCATCTTCTGATTATGAAAATCTGTGCTTTGGCCCAGAGATATAGCTCAGTGGCATAGCACCTGCCTGGCAAGAATGAAGTCCTGAGTTTGATTCCCAGGACCAAAAATTAAAATAGAATGAAATAAAATAAGACAAAATGAAAAAAATAAGATGCAATCAGTGCTCTGATTAGCTTGACATTGAATATAATTCCAAGGCTATAAAAATTGTTTTACGTGGCCTTCTTTTTAAGAAGATTTTTATGTTCTAAAACATTAGTTTTATGTTCTAAAACTAATTTGTATGTTCTAAATTTTGAAAAAAAAAATTTAAAAACCATGACAATTAACATTTCTTGGAAAACACTTTAAAAATCCAGGCCAATAAATAATGAAAATTCAGTAGATAGAAAAAGAAATAAAGAATAACATTCAGTAATATTTTAAAAGGGTAAAAGCATTATGTAAGTCATAATAATCATCTCTGATTCAAAATATATAGCTTGGAGATAAGTATCAATTCCCTAAACACAAATAAATTCATTACAGGACCTGTCTGGCTATATTGTAAGTAGCAAAGGCAATTTATTTTCAGATTTTAAGGACAAATCTTTTGAAAATGACACTCTGGGGACACTTGATGAGACTCCAGACTTTCAGTGCAGCACTAAAGTTATGTTAAAAAAAGACAGATTGGTATTCATTCCTTGTCATTTAATACTTAAAAAACATTTTCATATGCTAATGAGAGGAAAAGTAATTAAATAGAAACAGACAGAGAGCACATTTCATATATCATGCAGCACTGTCAAAAGTAAAATACCTTGTGCTTATCAGAAGATGCCAATTGTACATAAGAGGGATGATTAAATACTAAAGCACACAAAAATGTAGAAATACTGCCAGTAGCTCATTGTAAAAACAGACTAATCTCTGCTGGTCAATATCTTGATGATCCTATTGTGATGACACTTTGACAATTTTCCAGCTTCTTACAGCCTCTTTTCTGCCCTCTAGGAAAATAAATTCATAAGGTACAAGTAGTTGCACATCAGTGAATGATGAGAGTGAACAGAAATAGACTGCATACATGCTGAGACAAACACCCAAGACCTACACAACATCAATAAAACAAAATAATGCAAACACACAAACTTCTGACCTGGAAATGCCTAATTAATGGGAAGAATATATAGAAACTGAGATGAATTTAATTGAATTGCAAATCCATTACATAGGCTGCGCTCCAAAGCAGCAAATATTGGGAAAATAAAAATAAATCAGCTAATGTAATATAAAAAAATTACAGCATAACGAATATTATATAATGATCACTAAGATGATCAAAAATTATAAAATACACATCAGTGATAAAAAAAGACAAAGACAGGTATTGGTTACAAGTTCTCAGTTTGCATTTTAAAAGTTGTGATGAGCTTCTGTACATCAAAGTTTGAGATAGCCTAATGGATAAAGTCTCTCCAAAGAAAACAGATTTCAGAAAGCTGAAGAAATGGAAAAGTTGAGTCTGGAAACTGTTCTTTCCTCTCAAAAAATCCAGAAACATTCAAACAAAAGCAAGAGAAGTAGAAATAATAAGTCATTTAGGATGGAAGATATAGCATTAGTTAAATGATCATTTTTGAGTTAACAGCTAAACTGAATTAGAGAGCAACTACTGTTGAAGCAGAGCAGTAGAATAATGATGAGTGGGCTTTTTTATTGTCGTTGCTATTGTTGGTTTGTTTTAATTTTTGTTAGGGCTCCATAACTTCTGAAGGAACAAGAGTAAGATCTTAACAATACCTCAAGGGCGATTAAGACGCCTTTCTGAGGTTGATATTCGAATGGCCCAGAATGCCCTCATTTTTCTAACATTTATCATTTAGAGAGTCTGTGTGTATGTTTAGAAGCCATGAGTAATTTGTTCCCCACACACATGAAAATAACATCTGACCAATGGAAATTTGAAATACCTATCTGCATGGCCTATTGAAGAATAATCAAAACTAACATTTGTCAACCAACAAATGAAAAACATTATGATAAACAGCTAGAATTATTGACTCCAATAATTCAGGAAATGAGAGAACGTTATTTCTGGTAATTAGTCTACTCAGAAATGCTTGAGGAGCTAATGCGTCCATTGAAAGGAAAACAAAGGAGAATATTTGGAAAATAACACCTCTTAGAAATCGAAATGCTTATTGTAAATTTGAAAAAGCTCAAAAAGTTTTAAAATAAAATCTTGAGGAATTTACATGTTGTATACAGAGAAAAACTATGTCAATGAAAAAGATAACGATGTGAAAATCTTGAATGTATGTTTAACTTAAGTATTAAAACTCTATTTAATAGTAGTCTTACAGATGAAATAGAAATATATGGGACAAAATTTATCAAATTCCTAAAAGTAAAAGAGAGGAGCATTAAGTAATAATGTAAAATATAATTTTAAAAATCTTTCAAAAAATTTTTACATGAGAAATATGAAAATTTCACCAAAATAAATGAAAAAGTTTTGACTAAAATAATAATTACACTGCATTAGAATTAGTTACAATAATAAGCTCACATTTTAAAGCTTCAAATTTGACTAATATAGTAACTCTTAATAGTTTAAGATAAAATTTAACTCTTAAGAGCTTAACAGTCAAGATGAAATACAGAGGGAGAAAGAGACAGTGCCCGCTAAAGAGAGAATGAGAAGATAGGAAAGCTCCATTTTCTTTTCCACCATGAGCTAATCTTCATCCTTTTGTCTGTTTGATACATTCAAATTTGCTACTCTGAGAATTAGAAGTACAGAGAAGGTAGTCATCAGGGGAAGTAAAAGCATAAATGGTTAATATGTGATTAATTCTGAGAGTTGAGACCAACAATGCTACGTAGGTAAACTCTTCAATTGCACACTATTGTTCTGTTTGTCTCTATCAAATACGCATATTAAGTTAAAATTTGTTCATTTAAATGAGAGTTTTATTCAATGATTAATTTGTTTCTTTCAGATGTAATAGTCTGTGGTGCTTTCAGCAGGAAGAGAAATATGAAATGTTACTTAGATGGCAAAATGAAAAAAAGAGTTCATGATGACTTCCAAAAGATTCTCACGGTACTGCTGTGAAAAATGACATTAAATGATCCCTCTATCTTCTGAACTCACCCCCCCCAAGCACTGATGATTTACAATTACTTATTCAATCTTTTACTGAATTTTACGTTTCACCAATTTGATTCTTGCTCAGAGAGTTGCCAAATATAACTTCAGGGAAAATTTTTAAAATTTCGGAAATGGTAGATTGATACAGTGTTTCATTATTTTAATATGTACTCTAAAAGACAGATGAATGTCAACTCATGCAAATAACACACTGACTGAAAAGAATATCACTTCTTTGTAGAGAAGAGGCTGTGCATTAGGGAGTGGGGGAAAAAACACAAACACTTCCACATTATTTTCAACTTAATATCTAGTATTTGCTCTCATAGTATGCTTCGTTTTGAACTCTTGCAGTAGTTGCAAAATTTCTCTGTCTGCCTCTTTACCATTTAAACACACACTCTATTATTTCTACATATGTTTCAGGACTATTGTTGCAGATATACCATCATGGTTACAAGTGCATATGACTTACCAGGGCACATAAGACAAAATTGAAACTATCATAGTACTAAAGACCTGCCACACTCCAGTCATAAAAAAGTAGTTTAATTTTCTATCATCAACATGGGTCATTTTCTTTCTTAAATTTCCTTCTTTTAAAAGAGCTCCATCAACATAGCTTTCTCCTATGATAGAACTGTACTATATCTGTATTTTTCAGTACTCCCAGTCTCTTGTCACACATGACTTGAGCACTTAAAATAATCTAGTGCTAGGAAGATTTAAATTTAAAATTTAGTTTACATTGCATTACTTTAAACAATCTAGCCATATGCAACTAGTGCGTGCTGTATAGGCCCTGCAGGTTAGGCCACACATCAGTCTTTTTTAGTCTTATTTCTGAGCTCAACATTGCTCGGAGTGTTCTCTGTCTTCAATGTTCTCCCTAACTGCTTAGTCTGAACTTGCCACTTACTCTTTAAAGGACTATTTCAACACTATCACATGTTTTCTAAAATTTTCTCTGCCAAGCTTGCTTTGGAAGAATTAGTTTAACTTTTGTTTGAACAAATGATTTATTCTTAAAATGAAAGAAAATCTCTTACTTCCCTGTGACCCACACAGACATAGGCTTCTTTTCAACTTATGTGCCTCTTAGATCCGTGCTTCACGAACTCGTTATGTGGTGTATTAAGGACTGTGATGCTGGGCATTAGCTGTGTAGCCTCAGGTTTGTGGCACCTGTCTATTCCAATAAGAATGGTTCTTCTGGGGGCTGGGGATTTAGCTCAGTGGCAAAGTGCCTGCCTGGCAAGCGCAAGGTCGTGAGTTCGGTTCCCGGTACCGGAGAAAAACCAAAAAACCAAAAAAAAAAAAAAAAAAAAAATGATAAACCTCCCCTCTCACTGGCAATTTTCTCATAGCCTCTTTGATTACTTTTATGTCATTCATTTTCAACTGTATTGTCTTACATTTGCATTTGTAATCTATCTTTTTAAACTAGAATTATAGACCCATGAATGTGGAAAACACGTTCCATTTCTTTTTGTTTCCAAAATACCTTTTCCATGATCAGTGGAATATATGCTGTCATCTTATGGTTTCATCAAACTGAGAGACTAAAAGTAAGAAAGTCCTATTCACAAATGGGTACATCAAGATTCCGAGTATAATATGATTTTCTGAGGTTTCTGATCTTGGGAGGGCTCAGTAATCAAGTTTCAACATGACTGTTCTTCATTGACAATGGCTTATTACTACTATTGCCTTTCTGTGATCGTTATTTCTATGATTTAAGGGTCTTGATGACCTGGAAATATGATTAAATTCCTAAATTCTCTCAAAAACAAAAGTAGACATGAGTACACTTGAATCATTTTTAATTAGTGGTAATAAAAAAACATGTATTTTATGGGAATGAGGACCAATTCAAATGCCATTGATATCCGCAATGAAAAAGAACAAAGAAAGAAAACCAAATAAGGAAAGAGGAAAGGAAGAATGAAGGACAGAAGGGGAGAAAGAGACACATATTTAATACGGAGAGGAAGATAGAAAACATCTTTATTAGTTTATGTTTTTCTTAAATGGTTCATTAAAGCTAAAAATCTGTTACATTCAAATCTCATCTTTACTTAAAGGAAGCAAATCAGGGCATTCTAGGACTGAGAATCTAAGCTAAGCAGTTGGAGGGATGTCAAGAAAGGGATTTTAGTGTTGCTTAAGAGCCAACATGATGATGGTTCAGGGACTCCAGCCAGGGTCTTCTGTCACGGCCTAATGACTAACACAAATTATCAAAAGAAAGGTGAACGCGTGCTAGATTTTAAGCTAATAATCTGTGCCTGTACAAAAAAGAAATGGAGGACATGGAAGGAAAAACAAAGAGGCAGACAGAGACGAAGAGGGGATAAAATCACAGACAACTAAACCAAGAACAGGGACAGGGTACTGACAGATGTCTGGATCCAGGCTGCACATTTAATTTTCCTGGCTGGAAGAGGAGGCAGCGTGGATTCCACAAAGTCCCCAAGTAGAAGACTGACGGCAATAGGAAATGGAGCTCAGCTGTCTACTCCTCACAAAAGTGCGTTCTGATTTACCTGATTCACAAGACCAAACAGCTAAACACTGAATCAAGCAGAAATTAAGGTTTGCTAGCTGATCCCTGTTTTGTTTTCATCACCATTACCTGGTGATGAAAGCACTCATAAAGTACACCAGTGAACAACAGAAGAAAAGAACGGCTGGAGCGCTCTGTTTGGGATGGCTGTATAGATATATGTGCCACCCAGGTAGTCAATTACAGTGTGCCGATTGGACTGCGGCAATTTGCAATTTAGTGCATCAAAGGTTTTTTGCTTTGTTTTGTTTTGTTTTTTGGTTGCACTGGATTTGCATTCAGTTTAGAACCTTCACATTGAGCTATCTTCCCACCTTTTTATGTCTTTTATTTGTACTTCCTTTCACTTTTTATTTTTGGGCCAGTTCCCATGAAGTTGCAAAATTCCCCAGGCTGGGCTCAAATTTGCGATCCTCCTGCCTCAACCCACAAGAATGCTAAGATTGCAGGCATGTGCCACCATGCCTAGCTGTCACTTAATTTTTATTCCTTAATCTTTCTTCTTTAATTTTTATCCTTCCTGGGCTTGATGCTAATTTTTGAAGCCTCTAAATGCAATTTTTTTACAATAATTAATTAAGAATAATTATTCTATAATAGAATAATAATTCTAGAATTCTTTCTTGTATGCATTTAATTAATTATTGAATGACACAATTTTAGGGTTTGCACTGCGCTGTTTCAGTTCTTCTGAGTAGGCAGCCGCTCAGAACTGTGGTCAGGAGTACATGATCTGGGCCAGAACTGATTAGCTGGTGTCCTCACAGGAGCCATTGTTTGGTTTTCTGTCCTTCCATTGTGTAATCATGGTTCTTACAGTAGATATTATTGGAATGAAAATAGAAAAACCATGTGACACTGGATAGTGTCTGGCTTTTCATACCAGTTGCTTTTATTCTAAGTATTTCCAAGCACAGTTTCCAGAAGCAAAGATTTGAAGGTAGTAATTAAACATTACTGCGACTGAGTAAATGATAAAATGGAAAAATCTTGATAGTAGGCTTGAGTCCAATTAAAGAAAAATAGTAGAAAACCTTCATAAAAAACTGAAAATTTAATAATGGATATTAAAGTTGAGCAACTTGTTCTCTAATGCGTTCTCTTTGGGATCACAGCAATCCTACAGGTAAACTAAAATGCTAATAGACTCATAGGTTAACTGTACAACACAATTTCCCAGTTTGTCCTGCCAGCACTGTGCTCTGGTTTCTTACAATATTGTGATAATCTCAAAACAAAATACATCAGAATGTGTATTTGGAGTATAATCTCTCTGAAAAATAAGATACATTTATAGGTAGGAAAATTTTATAAAGAAATTAATAAAAAGTAGAGGAAGGGGAAAACATTAACTGAATTCTAAAACTTACTAAGTGAGATAAAATATAAAACTTTATGCCTCATTGTATGTCCACTAAGGAAGGTTTATAGGCCTGCCATCCTCGAACAGCTGTTTTATACAATTTTCATTTATTTGAGTATTTTGGATCAAGTTTGCTTTTGAAACATTTACTATAATTAGTGATAAAGCGTATTTTTTAATTTTAAAGAAATAAATGCTGAATTTTTAGAGTCCAGTGGGAAAAGATGAATGTAGAGAAATGGTTACAGCCTGATTTCTGGCACAAAAAAAGACTTGGGTCTGAGTCCTGAATCCTTCACTTATTAAATTGCCCTTGTGCAAATTCCAGAGCTGATTCTTTCATTTATACTCTCAAAATAAATGAAATCATACATGTCAAATGCTCAGAGCACTGCTGGGAGGACGCAATAAGTGTTAGATATTACTCTCAGGTTGTCATAATTGCTGTTATAAAAATAAATTAAAATAAATTAGCCAGTACTTAAGCATATTAGAATCAATAAAATCAATTTTAATATATAAATGTTCTGTGTTATAAATTAAGGTAGATATTATATAATTGGGAAGTGGAAGTAAAGCAGTATAAACACAAAAAATAAAATAATTTTATGGCTGTGATATTCTCAACTTAAAGAAAGATATTAATCTCTAAGAAGGAGTTAATTTTGTGGGCCACTCATTGTTAGAAATCCATATCCTGATAGGAAATGTCATCAAAGGGAGATCTTTAATGATATTTTAAGTACAAAGAATACACTACTTATGAAAGCTGTCATAGTATAAGAAATCTTTGTCTACAGGGAACACCTAATAAGAATACTAGAGAAATAAAAATATATTTTCTATGTTAAATTCTCCAGTTGCACTTTAGTTTTATTTTTCTTTTGTCATAAACCCTCAACCATCATTTGTATCCTAAGCAAATATAACATGAATATTCAATAACAGAAGTTTTAGGTAAATTGAAGTTTATGCAATAGAGATTTTGTAACATACCGAGGTCTTGTTTTTTATCTTCCTGTCTTTAGTTGTCTTTCCTTTTTTGTTGCTAGTAAAATAATGCAGGGTTCCATATTCCATTAGGGCCGCAAAAACAAAAATGAAACAAACAGAAACAAAGAGATCCATCGCAGTCACATAAGAAACCTTCGGTAAAGACTTCCTGGCAATTGTACTTAGCGTTGTCATGGTCAAAACTGTAGTGATACCTGTGGAGAGAAGGAAAAAAAACCCAGAAGATTAAAAATAATTTAATGGACTGGTTTTATTCTTCCACGTGATTTGGCAATATTGTGAACTGAATCACAGCAATCCTACAGGTAAACTAAAATGCTAAGAGACTCATAGGTTAACTGTACAACACAATTTCCCAGTGGAAATTGTGGAAACAATGGAAACAAAAGGATATGATTACTAGTCGTTTACAGAGAATCACTGGTAACCATAGCTACATGATGTTAAATGCCTTCTTTGTGTCTGCGAATTTTAATCATTTAAATTACTGTGGAGCAAGGTGACTCCCGATACCTTTCCTTTCCTTCCTCCATAGCAATGAAATTATCAACTTTTTACCTGGTGTGTGTTTGTCTGGAAAAACAACTTTGTCACCTTTTCTGTGGTAGAGTGTGACCACAGGCTAAGATATAGTGAGGAAGAGCTATAGATTGGAAGCAGTGTCTAAAAGATGGCATTAAAGAGATGGAGAAGCCCTTTGTTCTCTCCTCCTTATGTACTGCTGGAATACAATGGTCAGAACACCAGGATTCTCCTAGGGCATAGAGGATCTTGGAAGTTCAAATCATCGAAGACCCAGCAGAAAGCTAGAAGGAACCTGAATCCTTGATATTGCAATGTGCCTTATGACTTTGGCAAATACCTCTGAACTTGCACATGAGAAATATGTACCTTTTGATCAAACTGAAGCAAAAGTGACTGGAGGTCTTCTGCCATGTACAGTTACAGCGTAAGGTTTTCTTACATGATAACTTGAATCTATTTTTATCTCAAATTTAAATGAAGAATAAAATCATGGCCAAAGAATATTTAAAAAACATGGAGTAAGTATTTGTATGTATAAGACTTCAGCTCCTGTAATTGGGATATGTCCAGGACCCCCACCTGGTGTATATTATCTTTAGAAATATGTATTTATCTTCACTTATTGGCCATTTTGGGTCCTTACCATTATTAATCTAAGTCACCAAAATCATAGGTGTACTTGGTATCTTTTCTTATTAAATTGCTGTAGTTTTCTTTCTTTAGCCTAAAAGATGTAGTCCTAGAAGTACAATTGCTTACTCTCTTAAAAGTACTAAATGTAATATCGAATGCTTTGTAATTTGGCCAACACATATAGAAAGATGGCTTCTGCAGTGAAAGAAGAAAACTAGGAAGAGATGCAGCAGCCGTGTCTTTGGTGTGGTGAGGGCCATATCCATGACTTTCTCTCCTGACTCCATTGCAATATGCTCTGCTAGTTCCTCTCTCACGCTCATCGTTTTAGTCTCATCACTTATTTAGATTTTTTTAAAGAAAGAAAATAAAACAGGTGCGATGCACTCAAAATCAGAGAGGCAAACCTAAGTTTAATCTCTTTCTTCTTCACCTATTTTCTTTGTGATCTTAAAGAAAGTTCTTAACACCTCTCATTTAAAAAACTGACATAGCATTTACTTATAATACATGTACAGAAATGATTTAATTTATTTTTTGCTCTGAGATAATTAATGAATTTGTCTTCCTTTCTAATACTAGTAATTTAAAGGTATAATTTTCTAAATAACGTGTTAACTGCATTTATATGTTAAATTCTTATTGAAATTCTATTTGCAATGTTTTCTAAATTCCATTTTCTTATTTCACCCAAGACACATAAGATATCATTTTGTATTTCAAAATATAAGACCATTACTAGTTATTTTTGTCAACTTTAAACTTACTTCTTCTGTTTTCATAGAAAAATATACTTGATATTTCAGTCACTCAAATTTTATTGAACTCTTGGTTGATGTTCAACACGCACTTGGAAATGTTATGTACACTGATGTTAGGTGTGTTATTCCATAAATATCAACTGTTCAAGTAGTTGATGATTTCATTCAAGTTTTCTACATCTTGGTTAATCTTTTATTCTTGTAGTTGTAACAGAATGAGAAAGGATGTTAAAATGTCCAGTTATGGTTACAGATTCATCTACTTTTTTCCATTATTCTTGACAATGTTTGCTTTAATTATTTTGTAATTAAAGCTACATCTTTGAGGTTTTATATGTAGCAAATGCTAAAGAACACTGTGTCCCATTTCTCCTCACTTCCACACAATTTGCAGGAAACATTGAATTACTGCGTTCTCACAGCACAGAGCAAGATTTTTAAAACTACTTTTGGTTTCTCAAGTTATGTCCTGTCCTTATATCAAAATTCTTGAAATCAGTGTGTGTTTTGATTCTGTTATCAATGGTTACATTAAATTTTAACTTATTAAAACACTGTTACACATCTGTTCTATAAGGTAAGAAAAATTGCAGTAGGTTTTAGCTTTCAGAATTTTCTGCTCAAATTTAAAAGCTAATATCACAGTGTTAAGCTTGGAAAGACGATGAATTTATGATTAAAATATCTATGCAACTATGATAATTTGAAACATTTGTTATATTTAAAGGGTAATATAAGACCACTTCAGATATCACTGTCTTTTCTTTATGGTTTCCCTTGTTCGAGATCTTAGACTCTCAAGAAAACTGCATCTCCAAGTGTGTTATAGATTGCCCTTTTAATCAATGGTATTTTATGGACAATTTTTAGATACACAGAGATTAGTAACACACTTTATATATCACAAGATCCAGGGAGCAAAATGCTTTATATTTATTGCTGTCACCTTTAAGTGTTTTAAAATTTACCTTATTAGACACATTTACGAAATATCATCGAAACCACATGGAAAACTCTTCAATGTTCAAAACAGAAAATTTCTAAACTATAGTTTTTAAAGACACAAATGACAGCAGTGTTATTCAAGCCCTACATTGATCTTGGAAATGAACCAAATGATTAACAAGATTTCTGTGTGTCAGTATGCAAATGTAAGTTATCATTGCCTTTTAAACACATGTGTAGTAATTAGTCACTTATTTTCTTATGAGTATTATTATTGAAATCGATTGCTACAGTAAGAGAACAAAAATCCAAAAAAACTTTATTGAGGGTGAATTACAGATTGCCCTTTTAATCAATGTTATTTTAAGGACAATTTTTAGATACACATACAATAATACACACTTTATGCATCACAAGAGCCAGGGAGCTTCTTGTTCTTTTCAGGAACCGCCCTTTGGAACAGCTGATTGTTCATTAGCAACATTGTACAAGCAAAGGATTTCAAAGCTATTCAAACACACACAGGTAAATGAATGTAATTATTAGTCATTCAGCTAAAACCTAAATTAAATGTTGATGAAAAGCAATTGAAAGTACTGGTCAATATAAGGAATTTTCTGAAATTTTTTCTTTACTACATTATTTCTCTCTATATATAAATATTAAAATATATATTCTAAACATATACATATAAGTAGTGCAGTACAGAACCTAAATATTTTTGCATATTTCTTTGTATTATATATATTCCTTTATATTGTATATATATGTATATATATATTTAGAAATAGTGTAGTAAAGAACTTAAATATATATTTATATTTCTTTCAACTTAGTATTACACTAGTTTGTGTTCCAATTTGCTGGAATATTTCTAATATATGTATCTATAAACTCTTATTACATTAAAATACTTTAAGTCTTGTGTTATTGTAGCAACACATTACATATCATACCTAGTGATGTTCTTGCAGGTACTGCATCTTTATTGATCCAAAAAGACACCCAGGAAAGAACCACTGTGAGAATACATGGAATGTAGGTCTGAATAGTGAAGTAGCCCATTCGTCTGCTCAGGTCAAAAAAAATTGTCATGATAACATAATCCCCTGAAAGACAAATAGTATGTTTTATTTTGCTAGAAAAACTATGAAATACATATTCCAACCCATATATTCACATACCAATGCCATTTAGTGCTAGCTCAATTCAATGATACACGTTTATCCTTACCTGAGATTGTGTGAGCGATTTCAGTCGAGTTTCTTAAACCTACAAATGCAAATTGATACAATCTCCAGTATTTAGGATCTGCCACTTCTACAGAAGGCTTTTTCCATTTATATTCAATTTCATTTTTAGGGTATCCATCTATAGGAAAAGTTTAGAAGAAAACATGTAGATTCACAAGATCTAAATCAGGTACTGTTGCAATAACAACATTATGCAAACTCTTGCAAATTTTTCCTTTATTTGTTATTATAAAATATGACAAATATAAAACAGACCGAATGAAATATGTATATATAATTTAGAAAGGAATCCTGTTTTTTTTATTTCATGCTGATACACTGATTTCAGAGGCAACTTTTCTTGGAGCCCTTGGTGGTGAGTGTTTGGTATTTTTTTCATGTGAACCTATGTATCTCAGGTTTAAGAAGAGATTACATTCTATTAGACTTCTATTCCACGATACTGTTAAAACCAATAAAGTTACCATGTTTTTCAACTGTCCTCAGGTCATACCTGAGTGTAAACCTAACGTTCAGGTTTCCAATTTTTATATGGATTTGGAAGCTAACCAAATTTTTATATTTGTGATCAACTATATATATTTGGAAATATATTAATAATAGGAAGCTTTTAATTAGTTCAACAAAATGGTTAGTCTACATATTAAAGAGAGTTCACTAATTCATTTTAAATATTTCCCAAACAGTATATCATTTTCCATGTTATCTTATCCATATTCAAATAAAATAATTATATTTTCTGCTAATTTACTTAAGAGTTTACATTTCATGCTAGCAGCAGAGCAGGCACTAATACCCTGCGTTGCCATTGCTAGAGTCTGCCCTGCTGCTAGGGGACTTCTCTCTCTTCTTTGTTTCATAGGGCTCTATTTATACTACTTTTCGCATATTTCTTGTGCATTTCAATTACAAAGTAGTATGTAGTCACAGTACTCAGGGATACGGGCACAAGATACGTGGCAACTCTGCTTCTCATGACATTGAGTTTCAAAATTCGGGCTGTAATAAAATTGTCCTCATAGTGTTATATGCAATTTTAGAAATAGAAGGTTTAATTTTCTACTGGACGTCTATAGAATGCTTAGACAAAGTTAGCTATGATTATTATATTTATGTCATTCATGTTCAATTGCAGTTAGGGGGAGGGATTATTAACTGTTTGTAGTGGCAATCAATGCCAAAGCCAAATCAAGATGTAAGAATGGCACGTAGACAAGAGCACAATGACCGTTCTCATCCAGGGGTCACATATCTACTGCTCCTTGAGTGTTCTTATTAATAAAGTGTTTGTTGTGATTTGGCTATATTACTACTGAGAAATTAATGTCTAAAAGAGAAAGAAGTGACATATGAGATCATTAATATGAAATGATGTTATAATGAGACAAAATTTGTTAGGATAATCCAAGAAAATAATTAATATAGTACAACAAGAGATGTTCTAGAATTTAGGAAAAGTGAGATAATACTTATAAGTAATTATATTACATTCATCTGAGAGTAGATTCCAGAGTATAATGGACTTCAAAAAAATTTAAGAAAAGAAAATAGCATCAGATAATTTGTAGATACAGGCAATAGCATTTTTAAAAGTTATTTTACATTTTCTGGGACTTACCTCATTATTGAGAAAAATAGCTTTGAAAAATACATATGAGGGTTAATATATTAATAATAACTAAAATTAACATCACAATAGATATAGCTATTTTATGGAAAGATAATAGATTTTAATGTTAAAATTATTTTGCTTTAATCACTTTTCTGTTTTTCTATTTTCCTTTAATTCAATTTGGAGGATTTTAATTTTAGATTTCTAATTTAGATTTTCCAACACGATAGTCTTCTGAAATATTTGCTATTCAGGAAGTAAATACTCTGCAATGAATCATTTTTTAAACACGTTTTTAATTCCAATGCAGTAAAGTTAAATTGCTTCCCAAAAAATTAATACAATTTGAATCACATTTTATTTCTGATTTGTACAAACATTTAAATACAAACTTATCTTCAGCAGTACTTTATTCAAAATGAGACATTGGAATATGCTGAGTTTAATAAATTTAAAATAAATCTAAGAATTTAACAAAATATATATAATGACTACACATTTGTTGTCAATTTTTATCTAAAATCAGACAAATGCATTATTTGTAATTACTATATGCGACAAATTTGAGCACAAGCTGTGTTTTTTTTAAATTGTGTTTATCTCATTTTATTTTATATTTTTAAGGAAACAAGTTTTAAGGCTAAAATTCTATGGAATCATTAAATATTTTATCACTTACAGCTTGAAAATTCCAGTGGGCAGGAATGTTCATCCATGGGAAAGTTATGAAGTTGAAGGTAACATTCTGCATTAATTGTCAGTCTGTGTAGATAGAAAATATTGAATAATGAAATAGTTTTAATTATTAAAAATCTCTTGCTTATTTTTAAAATGTGATTTCTGCCTACAATAACAAAGTATGATATATTAGAATATAGTGATAATACCAAAATCAAGATCCCAAATTGTAATACTGTAGCATTAATAAGAGCATGAAAATTCCAATATTTTTCTTTCCACAAAATTCAGCTATCTCTGTATTCATTTCAATATGATCTCTGGACTTAACATGTAAAAATTCAACTCTGAAATATTCTTCTAAAGATCCTAAAAATCTCCCCAAACATGCACATGCACACACACACGAGCATAAACGTACAAAATGAACATGTTTTACATAGTTAAGTGTGCTAATGTTTTCTCTTTATGTATCATGAACATGTTCTTGTTAGGAATGATTCTTAATGTGCAGGTACAGTATATTGAAGGAAATTAATTAAATCTGAACATCAGTCTTATACATCAGTCTTTTCTTGGGGATGATTTAGTTCACTCTTGATAATATGATTATAAAATCTTGTAACAGGATAAATTCTTAGAGAAAAATCAGTCATTTACATTATAGATTAATAGAAAAGCATTAGTGGTCATGTAACAACCTATTTTGCATCTAGGAAAATAATTTTAAAATTAGTGGTTATTTTTTTCCTTAGCTGTAAGGCTTTTCACATAATGGGAGTTGTAAACTTTAAAAAGTATTGCCAGAGTATTTCACCATTTAGATTTTAGCACAGGAAAGGAATACCATATTTCCTACATTGCAAGTTTGAAGAAGAAAACATAAGAAGCTAGTCAAATGTTAGTATAAATAAACTAGAGCAACTGCAAACTTTTAGATCAGTATTACCTTAGAGTATAAAGAACTCGCCCATCATTCCAAATTCTCAGCAGACGATTAGGAGTTGTTATCCAGTGTGCATCAGATTTTCTTGAGTTTCTGAAGAAAGTATCAGGAATCCAAATTTTTCCAACCATATTACTATTAAGCATAAGCACTTTCATAGTACTATTGAATTTCAGTCGACTGTCAAACCAAGTTTGGGCAAAAATTATATCTATTGTGTATTCCTAAAAAATACAAATAATAACAACATTTTAGTAAATCCACTTATTTTATATTTTCCTTAGGAGATTAAATTTCTATATTACAAAGTTTCTGCTAGTAAATAGCACTTACACTCAGTCTTTCTAGAGAAAAAAATGCCATTGTTTTAACTCATGTACAATTAGTATTTCTAGGGAAAAAAAGTCATTGTTTTAACTCTTCTTTTTAATTATTACATGAGTTATAGAAAATAAAATTTAAAATTGGCAGTAATTTCTTTTGCCCATTGTGGCTATAGTTCCTTTTATTTTGTAAGTTTTATTCACAGTTTTATAAGGTGTGAGATGCAGTCACTAAGATAAAAGCAAATTGGGCTGGGGATTTAGCTCAGCGGCAAAAGTGCCTGTCTGGCAAGCGCAAGGTCGTGAGTTCGGTTCCCGGTACCGGAGAAAAACCAAAACAATAAATAAATAAATAAAAATAAAAGCAAATTATCTTAATTTAACAATGATAATAATTTTTATAATATCTAAACTATGCTTACATAACAAAAAAATAACGGGTATAAAATCAAGACACAAGTTTCCAACAAATTCCCTAGAAAGCTTTACATTGTCCTTGGTCTGAAAAATTTGTTTTAATTAATTTTACCAACTGGTTTTAAATGTTTAACACCACCATAAAAGCTATTGAGACATTGTAACATGCCAAAAGCTATGTCAAGAATTTTCCATATGAAACTGGGGATGGTGGCACAAGTCTGAAATCCCTGCACTCTGGGAAGTGGAGGCAAGAGGGCTGCAAGTTTGAGCCCAACCTGAGCAATTTCATAACTTAAAAAGACACTTTATCAAGATTAAAGGTAAAAATAAAAAAGGGCTGGCAATGTAGGTCAGTGTGAAGGGAGTTCTGCATGTATCATATCACTAAGTATTTCTAAAATCCTGTGAAATGTTAATAAGTAATGCTGTATTGACATTTACTGGGTAACAGAAAATCAAAATAATTCTCTGCACATCTCACAGTTCATGTCATTATTATTATTATTATTATAATTTTCTTTTAGGTACCAGGAATTGAACTCACAACCTCAAGCTTACCAGCCAGGTGCTGTGCCTCTGAGCTATATCCCTGGTCCTCACAGCTATAATAATAAGTGCAAATAATGGTGCTCAGTGTGAGTTCCGGTAGGTTCTAAGACTAGAGCAAAGACTTTCTCCCCAGTTAGTAGCTAACTATAAATAGAAAGTTATGTGATTAAGAGAGAACTTTCAGGAGGATGTAATTAGGTATTATCTCTTTGGAATCTGGCAAATAAGTACTAAAAATTATTTGAAAAAATAACGAATAAGAAGTCAGTGATCACCAATGACATAGAGAGGTAATTGTGTATGTGTGTGTGTGTGTGTGTGCGTGCGCGCGCGCGCGTGCATGCATGCATATGTGTGTTACTTTGAAATTGAAAGAGGACAAAAACCAAAAGTTGTGGTGAGAAGGATCAGTTACTTGCACTTGACTCAATATTAGCAATTGACCAATGACGCATTTAGCATATGAACTGAAAGCATCATGGGGAGCTTACTAATGAATGAAAAAAAATACACCAGGGAGAGAAGTAAAAGATGAGGAATTAAATTGGTAAGGAAGTCAGATCAAACCCTAGTTTGTGGACAATTACTACCTACCATTAGCTTAGCTGAAATATATAAACAAATTTTACCAATGTTAAAAAGCAATGTTGCAATTTTGGAAGAGTACATATATGGTAATTATTTAAAATCCAGGATGGCTCCAGATGTTACATGATCAAATATTGAATGAATGTTTTATAATAAGATTTTATATATACAGTATATATAATATATATATAGTATGTGAGTGGATTGTGCATAATTTCTCCTTGCAACGGTGCATTGCATGATTATTCAGTAATCTAGTTATACACTTAGCATCTATTTTATGCCAGTTGCTGTTTTCCGTGAATGTGAAGGCATGAAGTCGTTGTGCACAAAATACCTGAATTTTCATGCAGTACTAGTTGCCATGCTCAAGTAATTTACAGAAGGAAACAATTAAAATTTTGTTTCTTGCGTTTTAATATGGGAGACACACAATCAAACTGTACTAAAAATTTTGCAACCAACTAAGCCTTTTAAATTCCACAGCCGCAGTCCTGCTGATGTACTCTTTGTAACTACAGCTGAGACAGAATACAAACACATTCCATAATATACAATAGTGAAGCATATTTATGCTGCAGATGATCAGACCTCTTATTAAGTAACATGAGTAGAGTGGTATATAACATGGGCATGCATGTAGTAGTGCCAGTGAATCTCTATATGCAATTTGACTGATGTAACCTCCCCTTGAGTCTTGTGGAAAACTCCAGGACTAAGGTTATATTTAATGTGTATTCAGACCTTCTTGTCAAGTCAGATATCTTTTTAATTTTTTAGGTCAACTATGACTTATTCAAGTAGTCTCTTCACATGACACAAATGATTATTGAAAAACTGACAGCATAATCGTGCCAATGACCTAGTTTTTGGTTTTAACAGTGTCTTAGTCACCGTCATCATTGCTTGAACAAAATATCTGACACCCAAAACCTAAAGGAGGACAGATTTCTTTCAGTATATGTTTCAGTTTGAGATCAGCTGGCTCCCAAGGAGAAATGGCATGGCCCTGGCAGAAGGGCACAATGGAGGAAAAGCTGCTGCTGTCATGGTGGCAGAAAAGCAGACAGCACCAAAGGAGGAGCCAGGAAGGACATATACCCTGAAGCCATGCCTCCAGCGATCCTTCTTCTGTGAGCAGGGGTCACCTCTCAGCACCACAGTTAGTTATAAACTGAGTGGCATGCCCCATGATCTAATCCCCTCCCAAAGGCTTCATCTCTAAGCACATGAGGCTTCGGGGGAATGTCTACCTATAAACCATAACACATAGGTAAGTGTAAACAGAGAGAGGGCCCGTTGCCCACAGACAGCGTAGAGCAGAGGTCTGATTGCTTCTCTACTTCCCAATATGAACAAGTAAACACCTCAGCTTGCAAGGCATCCTCAGCCAGGGGTGAACAGAGTGGCCTCTACAGCACTGGGGCACCTCACTGTCCCTAAGCTATAAGGTTAGGTAGAGTAAACTTAGAATTACTGGATTCTAAGACTGCAGATCCTGGAGAGAAAAACTGTTGAATATATGGACAATTTTTTCTTCTTCTTTTGGACTCATATATCCCCTAAACACACTGGTTGTTTAGCATATGGAATATTTTCCATTTCTTGTTTCCTTCATTTTTCTTTTTAATTATTCATTTTAAATCTTTATTTTAGGCTTTTTCTGACTTTTCTTTCTTCTCTTATTTGATCTTTGTTACATTTATCTGTTTCTATCATTTTCCTTTTAATGCTTCTAATCTAATAGGATTCTTCATCTTAGTATTCTCTCCTCTTCTTCAACTGACTAAACTTCAAAATTTTCTTCTTGCCTTCTACCTTTCTACACCCCTCTATCTTTACTAGAAAAACCATTAAGCTTCATTAATCTCTACTTAGTTAACTTTATGTTATTACTGTTTAATTTTTCTCCATTGTTAATGGAGGTCTGGTTATCAAATTTAGTAGATACTTACTCTATGTCTATATTTGGTTTATCATAGTATTATACTATAATTACAGACTTTTTATGGTTAAAGATGGTACACTGTTGGTTCTTGTGATATTTAAATATTCAGTCTCCATTTGATATTATTGTTGCTGGTTTATTTGCTATTGCCAGAGTCAAATAGCTGTTGCTATTTAAAGATTTTCTTTGTATGTCAATATATCAATTATTTCTGGGTAACTAACAATCCTGCAATCCATTCCTGGAGAACTGGGTGCTGGATCAAATATAGTACATCCTCGTTTTGCAAATTAATGGAGGTGGTCAGATCTGGGGACGGAGGTAAAAGGCTATAGTTAGCTATGTCCACAGAGCATCACTGAAGAACAAACACTAACCAAAGAGCTCTCCTTACTAGCAACAAAGTATGTCTGCTATAATTGCCCAGTATAAACCAAAACAAAAACAATAGAAACATGAGAAAACGAGGCAATAAAATGCCTCCAAAAACTCCCCAAACCTCCCAATGTTGACTCAAGGGACAGCCAAAAGGAGAAAATCAAAAGCGGCCCAGCTGAGTTATTCAAAAGAATAACAGAAACAAAACAGACCAAAAAGGTATTCTGAGCTCAAAAAAGATATATTCAAGCAAATAATGGACATTGTAAATAAAAAGATCAGCCATTATACAGAAGAGACTAATGAATATTTGGTGAGTTAAAAAATGACAAAAAACTTGAATGACCAGTTTAGGAAGAATTGCAGTCCATGAAGTGTTTGCAAACAGAAGTGCAGGAAATTACAATATCTTTTGAAAGCATGGGCAAATGAAATGACCCATGAGAGGACAGGGGCAGAATTAGAAGATAAGGCTACTGTCAGAAACCAATTATTAAGAGACAACTTAAAACAAAAAAAGAGAACAATAAAAAGGGATCCAACAGCTACTAGATGATGCAAGGGAAACTAACCTAAGATTAATTGAATTAGTGAAAAAAACAGAAGACAGAGCAAATTGTACAAAAATTTGTTTACAATAATAATAGGAGAAAGTCTCCAAATATGAAGAATAAAAAATGCAGATAAACAAGGGACATAAAATCTCAAATATGCACAGTGAAAAAGAACCCTCCATGACACATCATAGTCAAGATCCTAAAAGTCAAAAACAGAAACAGAATCCTAACAGCTAGAAAAAATTAATAAATCACTTATAAAGGCAAACCCATTAGAATTACAGCAAATTTCTCAACATCAGCCTTACAGGCCAGGAGAGCTTGGAGTAAAGTGTTTCAAGCCTGAAAAGAAAATAAGATGAACCTCTGTATCACCAAAAAGTACCTTTCAAATATGATAGAGTTAAGGTATTTCCATGATGAATAACACCTTAAATTCATGACCACCAAACTAGCACAAC